AGAAGTCAAGTCAATAATAAGCCTTTCAGCAGTGGACGAACCCCCCCGCGAATAGCAGAGGAAGTCTTCAACTTTTTCTCTATCGACGACTCTCCAGCAGGCGATGAAGATCTCTTTCTCCCGCCTTCCCTTGCAACAGGCTCCACAATGGCGATCAGACTAGCAAACGCCTCACCCTTGATCCTCCTAATCTCTTCTAATGAGGGTAACCCACCTTTCTCGCTGCAAAGAGAACTGAGCCCAACGCCATTCACGGTATTTAGCAAGGATCCTCAAAGCGATGCGCACCTTCTTTATGTTTGAAGAAGTTTTGGGAGTTGAACCAAATTTCAAATCTACATAAACAGAGGATGACAGATCAAAAGGCAGCTTAGGAAAAATATAATGCAGCTTTCTTATCATCGATGAAGGTAGTCGAAATGCGTAATCTAAGCGAAGAGTCAGATTCCCACTCTCTGCTGGTCTTAAGGGTCTCCCTAGACCAATCATGATCCCTCTTTGCTTGAGTGATCGAATAACCTATGGCGGATCCTCAGCTGCCCAACACCATCGATGTGACCTATGTCAAAGAAGTACCAAAACTTGTCAGCAGTCAGGTCCAAGTCAAAGAACCCACTTAAGTTGTAGAACCCCATCACCCTACCATCCTTGGCCCGCTTCCCGCGAACCCCAGACGGAATTACATGCTTAAACATCTCAAGGAAGTCCCTGAACTGCTCATCGGAACCTACCTTGACATGAGCAGCCCTAAAGTAGCCTAGTTTACTTGCAGATCAGCCCTGATAATGCAACGGCGGAATAAATTCATCATTCTTGTGGCTCGAGGAAGTCATGTTCGAAAATCCTACAACAGCGTAAGGAAAAATTATTGGAAGACTGCTCGAAGAAAAAAATAATTGCATGGAGCAACGCATCAAGCTACAACCCAGCTGGCTACCCCACGGACCCATCACGCCAGGTCTTTCTCTCTCGACCTAACAGGTTGGAGACCTAACGCCTCTTATCACCCTCTGCTCAAATGGCCTTGTAGCCCAATTCACCTGGAGAGGGGTTGAAGCCCTCGTGCCTCCCTCTCTCTCCCACATCTCTCAATATTGCACGAGCATAAGCCCAGCAGCCTAAGGCCCAAGCCGAGCAGCGCATGAGCCCAAGCCCAGCGCCGACCTTCCTCCTCCGCACCTAGCCTAACGCAGCGAGCCGACTCATCTATGCCAGCCCTAGTAGCGCGCCAAGTCGACCCAATTGCTACAGCAGTAGTAGCACAACAGCCCACGGCTACACTTTTTGCCACTTTCTTGACCCCCATCAAACAAAAATTGAGCCTCGAGGCTCCAAAAAATCAAGAAGAAAGAGAAAATTAATTTTTTCTTACCTTGGAGAATAAGAAAAGCAATGAAACACAATTCTTTGCACGAGCAAGTGAAGAAGTGATAGGAGAATATTTATGCGATTTATTAGCTTGTTCTTGTGCATTTAGGTTGTTATTTCTTAGTTAAATTAGTATTTCAAGCCATTTTCGTGTGTTTGTAGGTCCAAAGGGTTAAAGAGGCAAAGAAGTGCATTTTAGAGCTTTTTGGAGCAGTTTTGAGAATGGAATGGATAGCTTATGAATGGAGCAAGGGAGAAGGACGAAATTGAAGATCAAAGGAGGCTAGGAATGAATAATGAGATGAAAGAAATGAAGAAATGAAAATGAAGAACAAAGGGTTCAGAATTGGAAGCCAAAGTGTCTAAAGTTGGAAGTTTCTATTCTTGGAGGTTTCCATTCTTGAAAGTTTCTATTCTTGACTTGGAAATTTCCTAATCCTTCCTCACCTATGTTCCAGCCACAAAAGGATTCCAAAATATGTTAGGACAGGTTCTTGCCTATTTTCTAACCTAAAACCACATTCCCTTTTATTCAAACAAGAAGTCGAACCTTCCTTCCCTTTTCTCTCTTAAATTCTTACCTTAAATACCTTTCCTATATTGTGCCACATCTTTGTTGCCTATTTCTCTTTAATTTCTGATTCTTTCTTACCTATTCAATTGTGGGACAAATTAGTTAAGTATTTAAAACCCTTTTCTGAACCCTTGCCGAGTTTGAGAGCCTTTTTATACCATCATTAGCCGCATCCTTCAAGCATTCACCATTCTATACATCTAGCCACACCCATACACCACCAGAGGCCATACACAAACATCCTTGTCGTAGCCCATTCACCCTAGACTACCTTCCTGACCCCTAAACACATCTCATACACTTCATCCACCTTTGTGCCGCAGCAAGAAGAAAGAATGAAGGACTCTTGGATGTTCGAGCTTGATTGTTGGAGCATTCTAGGTGTAATTCGTTCTATATTTACAATGTTTAATTTCTTTTCCTTTCGTTTTGCTGGAAACATGAGTGGCAAATCCCTACTTAGCTAGGGGTGATTTCAAAGCCATGATTATGTGTGCAATATGAGTTGATAAATTCCAGTTATGAATTCTTGAATCGTGAATGCAATTAGCTTAACTGTTTGATTGATAACTTATTTGTGTTTGTTGATTGAGGGTCGACACTTAATTAGCATGCATAAATCTGATGCTAGAGTATAAGGGAGTTTCACATAATCGTTACAAACTTATATTCATATGTAGTGAAGGTCGCTAGTCACGATCGCGTTAAGTTTAATTCCTAACATGAGTGACATGATGTCATAGTTGCAAGTGCTTTGTCAATGCTTATGATTTTCATTGAACGTAGTGATCTTTGATTGTATCTCTATTATGATGTCATGTAGGGAACTTTTGAAGAATGCTTTGGGTTGTTGAATGATGTCATCCAATCCAATAATACAAGGAAAATCTGAGGGTTAACTAGTGATGTCACGGTTAATTTGGGACATTGCCGTTCATAATTCAATGAAGGAGTAACTAGAAATTAATTTGTTTGCATACATGTCATGTGTGGAGAAAGAACCTCTAGCTAGCCTATCATCCATCTAATTCAACCAAATTCGTCCAAAACCTGTCTTAAGTTTTAGTTACTTGTTTTTATTTTAAATTCGTCCAAAACAAACCCCCTCTTTACTTTCTTGTTTCAAAGTGTTTAAAATATGTTTTGTTTGTGTTTTTGAGTGTTTTGAGTCAAGGCAAAACCCTAAATTCGTCCAAAGTTGTGTTTAGAGTCAGAAACTGCCTAGTTGGTGTTTTTAGGCAGTTTTGAGTGTTTTTAAGTTGTTTTGAGTCTTGTGAACCTGTTTTGAGTCCTTTGAGTCTATTCAAACGTTTTTAATTTTGTTTTTATGTTTTTGAGTCAGTTTAGAGGTTTTAGCAAACCCTCCTAATCTTCGGTTTAGAACGATCCCTACTTGCATTTATACTACAATTTGACAACAAAAAGGTTTAATTTGAGTGCTTATATATTTTCACATCAAGAAGATTGCTAGGGAAGGGGGAACAAATATCCTCTGGCTTTCTCTCTTTCTTGCGGGGTTTTAATTGCACGCCAAATTTATTTAACCCCATGCTTGACGCAACCTTAAATAGGTTTTGGTGGCAATTACATCAAATTCGGACACAAACTCCATTACAACTTTGGATTTCTACACCTCCTACCCTTTCGTGCAAGCAACCTAGCAGGTGTGGGGGCATTTGTGGAGCAAAAAATAATCTCAAAAATCATGGAGCTGACACGTGAATTATTTCTCAAGAAAGACAAGATTGCCCATATTAAATGAGCAGGGAGCAGCCTCATTCACCATAGGCAGCTAAGGTAGAGCAAGCAGAGATTAATGACTGCTTAAGGCACCCCTGCCTGTAGGAAAAGTCAAAGGTAGTTATGATAGAATAATCCCTTATTCTTATCCTTATCATAAATACATTGCTAATCAGATAAGCCTTATTTTAGGTAAGTTATCCTAATCCTATTTATTTATGATATATAAGTAATTATTCTAAGATATTTATTTACACAAATATCTTAGAATATTCTCATCCAAATTCCACCATATGGCTGGCCACCTCTAAACCCTAGAGGGCTAACCCATCTCCTCCCTTTCTCCTATAAATACTCCATTTATCTCCAAAATTTGGAGAGGTTTTAGCTACCCCTAAAGAGGTTTTTTGCTTCCCACAAACACTCAAACACATTCTTCATAAAATTCTAACTTTGGCATCGGAGATTCTTCAGCCAAAGCCCCCCATTCATCATAGGCGCATGAGGCTTTTGGCCTTAATCTTAGGTATTATTATTTTGCAGGTGTAGATTCGTCAATCAAGAAAAGGCGAAAATTTGCATTCACAGTGATGCTGATGCTTGTGGTAGTGGGGTGGAGGACATGGTGGCGATGGCAAAGGCAGTTGTTCCGATGGTGACCATGATGAGACTGTGGAAGTGGTGGTGACCAAGGTGGCGATGGTATGACAATGGAGGATGCGATGGCATTGACGATGGTGGTGGTAACAATGATGAGATGGTGGAGGTGGTGATAGCCATGGTGGTGTAGGTGATGGCAGTGAAGAATGTTGTGTGGTGGTGGTGACGGTGGTGCTTACATACATAATTTTATTTTATAAAACTCTTTGTTGTATGATGTATATTTTATTTTCTATTGTTTTGAATTTTTATTTATTTTTAGAAAACAGAGGAAATATCAATTTTGATGTTCACATAACTTAGGTTAAATATCGTTTTGTAAGTTTTTTATTTTTTAAGTTTGTTTAAAATAATAATTTTCCAAAGCACTTTTATTTATATAAAAATTGAAAAACTTTTACAAAATGTTAACGGACAAGCTCTTAAAAACCTTTGACCAAAAAAACTCTTAAAAAACCGGCACTATGTTTTTGGCACTAAAAGTTCAATTTTTTCAATGGTACATATATATCACCGATTGGTATACATACGAATAGTTAAGATTGAAAATAAATCTCTAAATAATTATGAAAAATTGAATTTAAAAGTTAAAACGTAGCATTGAAAGCGACAAGTAAAAGAAATTTCATTTAATACTAACGAAATATTTCCATTTGGCTATGCCAAAATTTCAAGGAGAAGGATGCTGTTCAGATTTTTGTCATAGAATTTGAGCGAATTCCCATCACTAACGTCGATATTATGGGCACTCAAACATAAGCCTTATCTCTTCCTCTCTCTCTCCTCTGTTTCTCTCTCATGGCTTCGTCGGCAGCCGGTGACCCCTCCGCCGACGAGCCAGTCACCCCGGCAGGCCGCCTCTTCCTCCAGCCCGAAATGAACCAAATAATCAACTGCGCCATCGGATTCCAAAACCCCATAAACATCGACTTAATCAAATCCACCCTCCAAAACTCTCCCCTCCTCTCCAACCCCAGATTCTCCAGCCTCCTCGTCCGCGACTCCGACGGCCGCGAGCACTGGCGGAAGACCCCCCACGTCGACATCGACCGCCACGTCATCGTCCTCCACGAACCCCTCACCACATCACCCGTTGACCACGAGACAGCGGTCAACGACTACTTGGCCGAGCTCTGCACCGGCACCGGCCTCCCCGCCGACAAGCCGCTCTGGGAATTCCACCTCCTCATGGCCCACAAGTGCGGCGTTGTTCGAATCCACCACGCCCTGGGCGACGGCGTGTCGCTCATGGCCTTATTGGTGGCTGGTTGCAGAAGAGCTGGGGACGAAGTAAAGATCCCGACTTTTCCTGGGAAGAGAAACAGAGCGAGTAAGGAAAAGGGTTGGTGGGCTATGGTGAATGGGTTTTGGGGTATGATGTGGTTTAGCTTGATATTTGTTGTGGAGTTTGTGATGAGGAGCTTGTGGGTTTGTGACGGCAAGACGGAGATTAGCGGCGGCGATGGGGTTGAGCTCTGGCCGAGGAAGCTGGCCACTGCTCGGTTCCGGCTTCAGGACATGAAGCTAATCAAGAACTCTGTTCCAGATGCGGTAATTGATTTTAAATGCTTCTTGTTTTGTTTTTATTAATTCAATTAGAATGTGGCTGGATGGAACCTCTTTCGTGCTAATCTAACATCTAATCCAACAAAATCTCTATAAAAAAAAAAAAAACCAAAATTTCTAATGTTTTTTTTTTTTTTGATGAACCGATATTTCTAAATTTGGTAAACAAAACTTAGGTCTTCATCTGCACATAAAAAACAACAAAGGTTGTGACTGAATTGTATGCCAAAATGCAATGCAGACCATCAATGATGTTCTTATAGGGGTGATCTCCGCAGGGCTATCAAGATATCTATATCACCGAAATCCAAACGGTAATTAAAATCTGAATCTAGTGCGCGTGCAGTTAACATTAAAAAGATGGATGAACACAATTGTTCCTTTTTTTCTCGTCAGGTTTGCGTGACGGGACTCGAATGACGGGGATAGGCATGGTCAATTTAAGAAGGGAAGCTGGACTGCAGGTTTGTTTCTATGTTGCAACTTTTAACCTTTTATATGTTTTCTTATGAAATTATTGAAATTTCGACTTGAACGAATCTGATTAGGAATTATCCGATTTGATGAAAGAAAATTCGGGGTCGGGTTGGGGTAACAAATTCGGCATGATGCTCCTACCGGTTTACTATCATAAAAGCGGTGGTGACCCTTTAGCTTATTTGAGGAGAGCCAAGGCTATGCTTGACAGGAAGAAGCAATCTCTGGAGGCTCATTTTTCATACGCAATCGGACTTTTTGTAATGACCTACTTCGGAGCAAAGGTTGCTAGCTGGCTAAATTACAGGATTGTTTGCCATACTACCTTCACTATCTCGAATGTACTTGGCCCCCAAGAAGAAATCACACTTGGAGGCAACCCAATTACTTACCTAAGAGTGAATAATTCCAGCCTGCCTCATGTAACAGCTCTCTGAAATCACTTAAGTTTCTTCTAGGCATATTGATCGTCGAACGGAGCAGATAAGCGATTAAACGTGTAACTTGAATTTTTTTTGCTGGTTGTTAATGCAGGCACTCACAATGCACATGATGAGCTATGCTGGAGGAGCAGATATGCAAATTGTGGTGGCCAAAGATATCATCCCGGACCCGGTGTTTCTCGCAAAGTGCTTTGAGGAGGCCTTGATTGATATGAAGGAAGCAGTTGCAGCTACCCATAGAACATAAGGACCTCTATACAGAGGTTTAATATGAAATGCAGGGAGATTAGTGTTAGATTTCATTGGAATGTAGATTACAAAACTGGGTAGTGAAACTCATACGCCTACTAATCTAGGTATATGTACCAAAAGAAAAAACAGAAAATGTAGATTATAAAACAGCTTCTGGTTTTGTGATTAGAGACTCCTGAGGTTTGCCTTTATATGCTGGTGATCGCAATTCTGGCGATGATGGTGTTGTTATTGCAGAAGGTCAAGACTTGTCGGATGGTTTGCATGAAATTGTCTACCATTAATCATTTTGATCATTTCGTGAAAAATCTCTATTAAATAAGCATACAATGATAAAAATACCCTCAATTTTTATCAAATCATTTTGACATATTGTTTTTTACGTTAAGGGTATTTTTGTCATTTTGATCCTTATTTAACATATTTTTTTCATGGAATGACCAAAATGATTGACGGTAAACAATCTTAAGGACTACTTTTATCAATTTCAAATCTCAGATACCAAAGTGATGAGTGCTATGAATGAATTGGTATTTCAATTAGTATGAAATTTCAAATTAATATGAGGTAAAAAACCTAAATTTTAATTGATACGAAATTAGGAAATAAAATTTTAGGCCTGCACATCCAAAAAATATCAAATTTCGACCAAAAAACCCAAAAACCCAAAATCCAATCACGATCCATCCCGAAATACCAAAACATATTTCGGGAATCCTGAAAATTGAAAATAACGAAATTTCAGTTCGGGATTGGCCTTCAAATTCTCATCCCGAAAATTTTCGGTTTGGATTTGGGATCCCATTTTCAGTTTGCGATTCCATAACAAACCACCCCTATCATAGTTAATTAATCTTATATTTGATTCAAGGATTTAGATTATAATATTAAGGTAATTCTCACTTTACTATACATATCGTGGTTTTTAAACTTTTATACATCAAGTTTTTTTCATCACATTGTCAAAAAAAAAAAAAAAGTGAGGATTGTGGGACACTTTCATACTTTTGTTAGACTTTTTCAAAACCTCTGTTAATGCATGACGTGGCACCCATATAGATAATGACTGGATGTCACATGTCAATCTAACCCCATGTGGACATTAAAAATTTTAAAAACTAGGTAAGACACCAAATTGGGGTTTGTTGGGAGTTTGGAACCTTGTATTACAACAGGTAAACATAGAACCTCTTTTAGAATTAGGAAAAACTGAGTACTGGATCAAGAGTCTGTTGGCGACGCTTGTTAGAAATTTTCATTTTTCAAATGGGTACGGGGGTGGTGAATGAACACGAGGAATTCAAAACAAAAAAACTGGATCAAGAGCTAGTTGGTGGGGTTTATGGGAATTCACTTTTCATTGGGTAAAGTTGAAATTAAACTTGAAACCTCTTATGGAATACAACACTAGCATGTACACCAAGAGCTAGTTGGTGGGGTTTTGTTTTCTTAAGCTTTGGATACCTTTTGGTAACCTTTAGTTTAAGGGGTGTGCTACTATCCATACACCCCATTTTACTTCTCACACACCCTTGATAATTTCTATCCGTTGATCTTCTTCAATTAATCCAATCCGGCAGCTGAAAATTAAAAATGTGTGTGAGAAGTAAAATGGGGTGTGTGGATATCACATCCCTAAGTTTAATTATCATTTTACCCCTTAGTACTACTATATAGTGTTATTCCTCTTTACTTGTAAGTGAGAGGTCTTAGGTTCGATTCTCGCTAAACGTAAAGTTGAACCACATTATTATAGGCTTGTAGCTGGTTCACTGTAAGGCTTAACTCACTCCCCCACACCCCTTAGTGTAAATATTACGTTTGTCAAAAAAAAATTACCACTTCCAATTTGGTAGCTTAGAAGGCAGTAGAATTTAAGACCTTCCGCAAAATTACTAGGATATGCAAACCTAACATGATATGTTTTTAATGATATTCACGTACTCATCCAACTTTTCTTTTTAGATTTGTGAGTCTGAACTTGAGATAAAGTCGCAAATGATAATTTGGTTCATCATTGTCACTTTAAAATTATTGTAGTTTCAATTTTGTTGATTTTACCACTATGCTTTAGTTTTATTACCAATTTTATATTTAATTTTTGTCAATTTCTTTTTTATGTGGATATCACGTATGTTAACACATGGTCCTTTTGGACCTCTAAAATAGTACAAACTTGGGAGAAGTCCAGTTAAGGCTCAAAGGAAGAAATGAAGATAAAAGTCCAAAGGAAGAATAAAAGCCCAAAGAAAGAAGGGAAGATAGAGGCCCAAGGGAAAGAAGTCCAAGGCCCAACAGAATTAAAAAGATTATCCTGACGCTATAGATGACCACTTAATAGTCTGATTTTCCTACTAGCAATAAAGTCGAGCGCTTCCTCATATAGTACTTTCAGACCACTATGAGCAAGTTGGCATACTAACAACATTATGACACGAATTCCTAGGGGCAGGTCTACTCGGACACCAACACATGGTGGCCATTTGCGAGAACATAAGCCTAAGAAGGGATATATTTGAGGAAACTTTTAAGAGGTGTCATTTTGAAGGTCATTTGTTTTGTATCTTTGCACAGCATTTCTAATGTTTTAATAGTTCTAAAGCCAATTATGAGATCATACTTTACCAACATTTCACATATTAAACTAATTCAGTATAATGTAAGGACAAAGATTATTATTTAAAGCCGTCTCATTAACTTTTATACGTTTAAATGATATGCCCAAGGAATATATAATTAACAACAAAATGTAATCTAAAATAGTCAGACTCACAAGACCTTTATATATATATCCTAAACGTTCCTGATCAAAGGATTGTCAATTGGGATTGACAATCCGAATAGACTAGTACATACTATGTCTTCTCTCTAGAGAGTGACTGGTCTTGAATCATTGGTATGAAAGACACAAATACAAATATATAGGTGCTTAATAGAGAGTGAGTCCACTTAATGCGATCAACCAGGACTTCCCATACTCATGTCATGTGAGAAGTCACTAGTTTGAATAATGCAAAGTAGTCCTTTGACTTGAGGAATCATACTTGTCTTATGGTTAAATCCTTAATATTTGACTATGTTAAAGGCATTTCATTAGAGAGTGTCCACGACATATATAGTTGGGGTTAAGCTACTTAATAATGTAGGCATGTGAATGCACAACAAATGATCCATAACCTTCAAGCTATCAAAAGGGATACTCTATGACATGATTAAAAATCTCTGGCTAAAGTATGGATATGATTTACTAAGTATGTTCCAAATCACTTTCAAGGTAATTATATAGACAAGAAAATCACATTGGATAGTAGACATGAATGAACTAACGACCAAACAATGTGATCAAGAGTATTGGTTTGGAGAAAGACTGTATTGCAATGTAATCACATATTGAATAAGTTCTCCGACCACTTCTACTTAGCTTGGGTAATTATGACATACTACTAGGTATCACTCATGGTTTATGAACTCTTATGAGTAACAATCACTATGGGAGAATTGAAAGCAACTTTCAATTCACAATCCAGTAGTAAGAGTTCTAATTGCTACTGCCTCGCAAACTAGAACGTAATGGATTGTGCATCGTATAAGGTAATGATTGATGGATAAAATGGAGTTGAGTAAGGACAGTTAATTGGTTTAATTGTTTTATTGCTAGGATTATTTAATATGTTAATTAATTAAATGAATAAGTTCATTTTAGACCTTAAGTTAGTGTTGGGCCTCAAAGCCCAATAGGATTTGAATAGTCAAGCTCATTAACTTAATTTGTATGACAACTTAAAACACATTGGGCCTTAATTATCCTTGGTGTCGAAAGCTAGAAGTCTATGGAGTCCAACTCAAGGAGATGGATGAAGGCCTTCACTTAAGGTGATTATCCTTTGCAAGGAAAAGATGAACTTCAAAGGTATAACAAATCTCAACTTTTTTGTGAATTTGAGTTGAGTCTTTGGTTCACATTTGCTAGGGTTTATATTTCTTGATCTAAGTTTTGTTTTTTAGTGCATTCAAGCATCCTTCCGCCATTTAATTGTTAAATGCATGCATATATGTTGCTCCATGAACTTAACATGTTCAAAGTTTTCCTTCAACTAGTTCATTAAGTAGTAGTGTTTGCGTGGTATATCTTTAACAATCGAGTATAGAATTTCTTAAGACTATTTTTGGGTGATGGACTTTTAATTTTCAAGGAATTGAGTCTAAATTAAGACTTATTTTAACTACGCCCACTGTAACTCGATTTTCATCTCATTTTGCTTCCTGCAACTCAAAAGTAAACACTTTACTCTATGAAACTAAAAATCGTTCTACTTTGACTTGTGGATTCTCTCTTCTCCCTAAAAAATCAAAAAGCCACCCCCTGGAACATAAATGGGGCTCACAGTCCAATAAGACTATGTCACATGTGTTATTGGATCTGATTATAAAGTTCCATTGTGTGTTAACATTAAAGCTTATTTTTAGCTACACCACCAGAACTCGAGTTTGATTCTACATAACCCTCTAACTCAAAAATCATTCTACTTTAATTTGTTGACTGTCTTTTCTTCTTGAAACTCAAAAGTTGTCCCTGGAACATATCATATGCCATGAATTTGATTATAAATGTCCACCATTTTTTTTTTTTTACAAAAATTAAATTGGTGGGACATTTCTGTGTAAGCTTTGCCCGATAAATTGGTTATTTTGCCTGACAAATTTAGCAGGTTACAATACACGTGTAACATTCTTTAAACATTGCCTTACGAATTGGTTCGTTGGGAAAAGGTTTGATATTTTACAACAGGCAGAGATCCTTCTTCTTCTTCTTCCTCGCGCTATTTCTCAATTTTCACTTTACCCTCTCTATCACCATCTCTCTCTCACTCTCGAGCTCGAATGAAGGTATGTTATCCCCCACATTTTTTCTCTTTAATTTTTTTTTTTAATTTGAGAATTTGACTTATATGTGATGTGTGAATGGGTGGGGGTGGGGAGGGACGAGGCTGGGAGCGTACCGGCAACCGGGTAGAGTTTGTGTTTGTGTGTGTGTTGGATAAGTTTTAGGAATTGTTTTGTAATTTTGTATGAATTTTATGAAATATCGTCATTTTAGAAAATTTTAATTCCTAGAAATTTTAAGAAGTTTTTGAAAAACTAGAAATTTTTAGGAAATATTGGATATATTGGAAATAATAGAGGAATTTTA